CTATATGGGTCTTGTTTTGTTGGCGGCAAACTTCACAAAACACAAGTAGGAAAAGTAGACTATTAGGTATTTCTGGCTAGTGGATTAATAGTTGATTCATTTTCCTACTAATGTGTTTTTCAAGCTTTTAACAACATCTGTATTTCATGAAAAGAAAGCTAAATCCAGGTCCTGTTCCATTACCTTATAGCAATAGACCTGTAACAATTCTTAATCCTACCTTCCTCTTCCAAACCAGGGGACACTTCTGCAGCCAGTTGATACACTACTGTACTACTAATCTTGCTAAATCTTCACTTCCTTAAGCTACTCAAAACTTTTTATATGACCACCTTCACATAGCTAGTAGTAGCTAGTACTACTAGCTAAAAAGTAGCATAAACCAGAAAGTAGCATTTATGGTTATTAATGTCTACCATAATTTAGCTCCATCTAAAAAGGCTTATAAGTAGATTTTATCATAATAAAAATTTCTTTCCGTTGTCTAAGGTTTATTTTCCCCAAGTGATCTCAATATGCAATTTACCATAATGGAAAACTCCAGATTTAAAATTGGGAGATCTGGGTACTACACTCAGTTTACCACTTAGATCAAAGACTTTGGGCAATTTATTTCTCCAACTGAGCCTCAATTTTTCCATTTGTCTATTAGAGATGATAATAATAGTTTCTACTTTAAAGAGTTGCTGTGAGGGTTAAATGGGATACTGATAAATGATGTTTAGTACAACGCCTGGTATATAATATGCAAAATCACTGTTACCCACTGTGGGTAACATAGAATTGTTATACCTCTACCTGCCTGGTAAGATAACTGAGAAGTCAAAAAATGAAAAGCTCAAGTTTTAAAGAATATTTGGAGAATGTATGTGGATTCCACCCCCCCCCCCAACTTACATTCTATTTTGCAGGCAAGAGAACCTAGGAAGTGTAGATTTTATTCATAATCACACAAACTGATCTCGACCAGCGACTTCTTCTCCTGTTTCCTGGAGTCCACGTGAAGGTTGACAGAGAATGCCTAGTGTGGTCCTACTTTAGATAGTGGAACACTGGGGTCTCCCTAGTTGCTCAACGGGTTAGGGCACAGCACTCAAGCTGGCTGCAGCCGCTTCAGTTCAATTCCCAGCCCTGGAGGTGACCCACATGACACAGCAGAACCTCTTCTGTCTCACCCACTGCCCCCTTCAGCAATGTATAGTTGGTCTGCCTGTTCTGCTCCCCACTCTGTCTCTGGTGAATCCTCTCACCACCCCTGCACCTCTGGCTTGTACCCCAATCTGTATGCATAAATAAATAAAAATCTTTTTAAAAAAAAGATTGCAGAACACCATGCCTTACCTCTGTGTACTTTTGTCTACCCTGGCAAGCTGCCCAGTGCCCTGCAAAACCAGACTCCCTTTCCAAACTACAACATTCAAAATGGACTGTTATCTCTCAGCTAATAGAATTTTCGAATAGCTTTCCAACTCTGTTGCTGCTTCTGAAGTGTGGTCACTCCATCAAATGCTTCTGTGACAGTGTCTCAGTCTCCCCTGCTCCCTCAACTGGACCAGGTTGACATCACAGCTTGCAGTCACCTATGTTACCTACTTTGATCTTGACAAAAAGACATACATTTTAACCTGAAATAAAGACCACAATGATGGTTAGACAAAGAACTAATTAGATAATCACACTGCGGATATGGACCAGGGAAACAGTTTGACACACTGTGCAGAAGAGGAAAAGGAATGGTGAGTCCTTGGTTATAAAAATGTAATTGTTCTTGATAGAGTTGGGGAGGGGGCTTCTGGTTTTCATCTATAGGTTTAAAATTTCAGTTTTTAAAAAAGGTATATTTTTTATTTACTTATGCATACAAGTACTGGGGTGCAGGCTATAGGTGCAGGGGCTGCGAAATTCACCGGAGACAGAATAGGGAGCAGAACAAGCCAATCTACTGAAATACACTGTTGAGGGGAGCAGAAGGTGAGACAATAGAGGTCTGCTGTGCCATGTAAATTACCTCCATGGCCTGGGCTTGAAATCGTACTGCAATGGCTGGTGATAGCTAAATAGCACAGAGACTGTAACCCCCCACGTATTCAGGGAGGCCCTCAATTTCCTTTTTTTTTTAATTGCCTTTTCTTTATTGACTTGGATTCTTTTATTATTATTATTATTATTATTTTATAGAAAACCTGGGGCCAGAGATGCAAGTGGTGAGAGTATTCACCAGAGACAGAGTGGAAACAGAACAGGTGGATCTACTGAAATACAATGATGAGGGGAGCAGTGGGCAATCCAGAAGAGCTCTGTTGCACCATGTGGGTCAGCAACCTGGCCAGGGATCTAACTCAGGCCATTGTGGTATTAGTGCTGAGACTTAACCCCTAGGCCAACATGGAGGTCTGAGGCCCTCAATTTCTTAAGTTACCTTGACTTAAAGAAATGTAGATGCTATCTATGCAGAGGAGTCCAAATGCTAGATTTTCCTGACTTCTGAAGAATGCATTATGGAGACATAAAGGCTAGGTACCTTCTGCTAAAATCTTCTTTTTTTTTTTTTTATTATATCACCTCTAGATCAGTTTTTTTTTTATTACAAAGTTTATTTTTGCTAAAATCTTCTTTAAGAGGCTTCTTGGTCATTCGTGGAGGCTGAAGGGTTGGTTCGCTACCCACAAGCACCAGAGATGTGCCTGGCTTCTTCACAGCATAAAGACTGTTCTGATTTGAACTCTGTGCAAAAACTTTTACTCTCTTGTCTGCTAGTCCAGAGGGGGCCTAGACCAGTTAACATATGTTCATGTAGATGAGGAATCTGAGGCTTCGAGACATGCTGACTCGTTCAAAGTCAAACAGTGGTCAGTTATAATAGAACCACTAGCCATCTTCAAAATCCAAGTTCACTGCTTTACTGTCCCTGCAGTGAATTGGTCCTGAGTCTATAATGAAGACCAATTCTACTTAAGTATCTTTTAGGGGTTAGGGATGGAGATTCTCACTCTCTTAAGTGCCTGAATGAAAAAGTTGTTTGTTTATTTTTCCAAAGACACGTGTGACTGTCCCAGGCATTGGAAAAGTAGGCTTGACTGGCTTGAGGGACTGGATGCCTCTCCATTTCCTCAGCAGCCAAACATGGCTTCTTCACTCTATTCTTACAAATAGAACTCTGCCTTGCACGTAGCTACTGTTTGCTGCCTTTGACTAATCAGGTTTCTCACTCTCACCCTTAAATGTGGTTATTCTATTTGGTCCTCTCATTTTCCAGGGCTAAGCTATGTTCTGTGTCACCAAAAGGCTTAGTAGCTTTGGACCAAGTGCCAAACCCTCATCATCCAAGTAGCTAAGAACAAGGTGGGAGTCACTGAGAGGGGCAAAGTCAGGTTTTGCCAACAGTGGGGCTGTGGGCATGGCTGTTTTTGGCATGGACAGTGTTCTGAAGCTTGGGCTCCCTGTTATGAATCTCTTGCCTAACACCTAAACTTTGAAACATCTGACCTTTTGCAGGAGGCCAAATGATTCTAGCTAACTGATGCCAGTACATCTTGCTTTATGTCCAGGAAAAAAAAAAAGTATATGAACAATTATTTCTAAGTTAAATAATATTTTGATCACACTAGTGGTTTTCTTTTCTTTCTTTCTTTTTTTTTTAAGATATTATTTATTTATTCACATAGAACTGGGGTACAGGCCAGAGATGCAGAGGGTGAGAGGATTCACCAGAGACAGAGCCGGGAGCAGAACAGGCAGATAGATGAAGTACACTGCTGAGGGGAGCAGCGGGCCGGTCAGGAGAGGTCTGCCTCACCATGTGGGGCAGGCAGGAATCGAACTCATGCAGAAGTGACTTTAGCTTCTTAGTGCAGCACTTTAACCCGCTGAGCACCAAGGAGGGCCCAGTGGTTTTCTTTTAAAAGACATCTCTTCCCCCTTTGTTGTGATGGTTTCATGTTTATATAGTTAACTCCAAACTCTCAAGTTGTATACAATAAATATGTATAGCTTTTAGATGACAACCATATCTCAGTAAAGTGGCTTTTAATAAAAAGATAGCAATATTGTCAAAAATAAAATCATGCCAGCAGAAGTTATGGCCCAAAGTAGCCAAAATCAACATCAGTGTTGTATGTAATATGTGTTGGAATGCAAAACATGTACAACTCAAATAAAAATATTAAACACTTCCCTAGGGAGAGGGCATTAGGTGATGGGAGGGCCCTTTTCAAAAGATTCTATGAAGGAAATAATCATTTTGCTTACTTTATACAAAGGTATCTGATCACAGGCATTCTAGAATGTTATTCAATTTTTTAACATGTTTCCCTAATTATGTTTTATGTTTTGTTTATGTCAAAAACTCATCCACATTTCTAGGGCTGGCTGAGCTGTAGAGTGAGAACTAGTAGAATTCAGAATAGAGTCTAGGTTAACTCAAAACACACACACAGATAAGCATGCATACCTGGAAGCTTAGAGAGAGAAATAATTTAACAAATATTTGCTGAGCATGGCTGCAAATTGCCTGGTGTGTGGGAGGTGGTGAGGGAGGGAGCTCTTCCTACTGAAAACCACTGGATCAGGTCCCAGGTCCCCATGTGTTCTAAGCCATAAACTCCTTGGCAGAAAGGAATCAGGTCACAGTCATCTTCCTACACCCTCCTCCAGGTATAATGCAGTGTGGAATGATGTCTGGCATATGGAATTCATGAACAGTAAATGAAAGAACAAGCAAAAAGTCGTCATATTGGATACCCATGTCCCTGGAAACAGATTTTAATTTGCAGCACTGGCTAACTGCAGTTTTCAGAACAGCCATCTTATTTGATACAGAACTGTCTAAAATTGATTAACTTATGTAAAAGAACCCAAAACTGGAAGATCAAAGTCTAGAACTGGTGGCTCCACTTTATTTAAAGCAAGTTCTGTATAAATCCCAGAATTTCACCTTTCTCTTAACAGTTTGTTGTTTGCCATTAAAAAGTAAACACACTTTGGCCCTCCTTGGTGGCGCAGCAGGTTAAAGCACTGCACTAAGCTTAAGCCACTTCTGCATGAGTTCGATCCCCGCCTGCCCGGGAGGAGATCCACATGGCGTGGCAGACCTCTCCTGACCCGCCCGCTGCTCCCTTCAGCAGTGTACTTCATCCATCTGCCTGTTCTGCTCCCGCTCTGTCTCTGGTGAATCCTCTCACCCTCCGCATCTCTGCCTGTACCTCAGTTCTGTATGAATAAATAAATCTTAAAAAAAAAAATTAAAAAAAAAAAAGTAAACACACTTTAGAATTTGAAAATCCAAATGAGCCATGTCTACAAACCAAGGTGGGCTCACCGGATGGGGTACTGAATTCCCCTAAGCCAATTTGAATAGTGAGAGACCACCAACCCTTCCAGAAACCCATGGTGGCTTGAGTAGCAGGAATACAAGTCTTAGGATGTATGTGCTGGCGAATGTGAACACTTTAATAAACACCAAATCTGATCAGTAGACCTTCAACAGGTCTGCAGAAACTGACTAGGAGGGAAATTAGCATTTATTCAGCATCTACAAGGCATTTCAGTGACTAGAAAGAAGGAATGTTTAAGCCAAGTGAACTCAAAAAGAAACATTTTATTATCAGAGCAGCTGATGCAATATTGAATCAGGTTTTCACAAATAAATATGACAGTGTCTGTTTGGTTACAACTGTTTGAAGAATGCCTACAGATAGGACCTGTAATAAATTTCCAAAAAGGATAGTGACTGGAACCTTTCAAGTAAAATTCTCCTGGCACTCTTTCTGAGAAAAGTATTAATGATAAATTAAAAAAAAAATGCTTATCACTCAGGGGGAGAAAACAACCTGGAATGTCCCAGTTAGTTCTGTTTGTTTTTAAGGAATGCACCTTGTTAGGACAAGTCTATAAAACATCTTTATTTATTTGTTACATATGATGTTTAAATATAACTTTGCTTTCAAGCTTCAAACTTTATTTTAACCCCTGGTAAAATAAGACTTTTGGTTCACCTTAACAAAAACTGACCTAGGAAGAAACATTTTTAGCAAAATGTATTATAAAATTCACTAGAAAATACTGTCCTCTTTTTGCCAAAATGTTACATAAAATCCTTATTAAAAATACACACATTACAAAAGAAAAAAGTATGAATATGCTATACATAGTGCTTTTGATATGGACCAAGAGACCTGCATTCCGGGGGGAAAATACAGTTAAGCACACGAGATATTATGATGTCAACTTATAATAGTGCAAACCTGAATAAATTACATCCTGAAATGGGAGGCATGCAAGTCATTTGCTGAAAATAATGAAGCCAGAACAGGAAGCAATCACAACCACTATTTAAAAATGTTTTCATTTTTATTACATTAATTTTTTTCAAAAATACTTTTCTTTACAATAGAACTCCTAGAAAATATTTACAACCTTCCTCTAATAAAATATAACAGCAGTTAAATATATTTGAAAATAAGATGGGTTTTTCCATAAAATATATCTGTTAACTTTTTATATACAAGCTTTCTCAAAGAGGTCTAAATTCACTAATGAAAAACCATCTGGTAGTAAACAGTAACCGAGTTGAAGACATTAACCATTGGGGAGAAAAGCTCTTTGGGGTAGGGAGGCTGGGAGCTAAAACACAACACACACATGCAGGCAGAATCATTTCAGAGAAAACTGAAGTGCAATCTTTTACGATGAAGTCAATTCTTTAAGTTGATATTATCAAGAAATAGAATTCGGAAATTTGAACTGTCTCATTATGGAGGAGTTCTTTGGTTACTTCCTAGTCAAAGATGCTCATACTATACTGCATGGAAAATCGATTGTGCATTATAGCTTTGCCTTGGCAACTCAGTTTATTCCTAAAGTTTAAAACTAGCATGGCTGGGAAAGTCTCCAAACAGAGGAATAAATTTGCTTCACAAACATTTTTCTGGGTATTTGCTTCTTTGATAATAAGCTTTCATAGACCCAACAGCAGAAGTATTCCAGAAGCACTCTCAGATCCCACACATGGAGGGAAGCAGTAACTTGGAGGCACAGGATCAGTTGGAATGTTCTGGAATAGTTCTGTCATGAAGCTGATACACGCTGCCCAGGACACAATAAACTGTTCTTAAATGGCAGCAAAAGAAGCATTTTTTTCCCCCCTAAAGAAGAGATTAAAGTAAACTTCCAAGACCTCTTTTCTGAAAACAGGGTGGAAATAAAAAGAACGCTTGTGTTTATCTTCTGTCCATGACTTTCCTGAGATTCAGAAAACACTGTTTATGTGAGGCCTCTGTGGGCCATGAATGTATGCTGAATGTTTTTTCAATCAAGCTTAAAAGGTGCTCTGGTCCTATCCTCAGGTTCCCGCTGACATTCTTTCTAATGTCAAGCTACCTGCATGCCCGCAAATGACCCCGTATGATCGCCACCATGACATGGAGCTGAGAAACAAGGCTGCTTGGGGAGAGAGTCCTGAATGCCCTGCTTCGGAAGTCACAATAATTTGGTGCTTATGGGTACTGACCAGAAGTGGCCGCCCCTCTGCTGGGCCAGGGCCCTGTCTAAAGGCCACACTCACTCACTTGCACTCATAGTGGGATGGGTCAATCTGACAGAGCTCAAAAGCCTGAACTTTATGTCATTTTTGCAGAATGACAGCTTTATTACCTTCAAGCACCAACAACATCCCTGCTGATGGGAGCAGGGAGAGACAAAGTTATGTGGCTTGGAGAATTCTAGAAGTGCTTTGGAAAATGACTTTCATGAATACGTTTGTGGTTTGAATGCAAACATGGAGCTAAAGCAGTATCTGAAACCATTTTTGTTGCCTTGAATGTTATTTGCCTTGAATTGCTGTCAGATGTATTAGGTAATAACCCTTTCCCACATAGTTAGCGTCAAGGTAAACTTTGGTCCAGCATAGGTGAATTACAGCAAAATCCCGGTGAGCGAGGTTTCACAGTTTTTCCATGTGGCAGAGTAATTTTTCAGAACTCCTAATCTAGTTTTGGGGCAAAAAAAGAACACTGTTTGGCATTCCAAGTACTTGAATGTGTGCGCCCTGATGGCCCTTCCTAAAAACAGCTCTGGCAGCCTAACAGTTTGGATGACGTTCCTCCAGACGGTCCCAGTCCGTCCCGCAAATCTTAGCACTGAATGAATGGGAACCAACCAGCCCCCAGGAATCATGGGCGGGTGCTTAGCAAATCACTGCCTGGGAGTGAAAACCTGAAATTATACAGTACTTAGTTCCTAGAAACAGGCCAATGAGTGATGGGCAAGGCAGGGAGAAACCTTATTTTCACATTTGGTCAGCCTTCGACACGTGTGCTTGAGGAAAGCCGTGGAACACAGGAGTCTGCTTTGCTCCAGGAAAGCGAACCGTTGGCCAAGATACTAAGTTCACTGCAAATTGCCGAGTGAGGTCAGAACAGAACAAAAATACCTCTGGGTGCAAAGGATGGCCTAAGACCCCAGCATGAAGAGGGTAGCCTGCTTCAGACACACAAACACATACACACACTCATAGAAGCTTCGGGATAAAAGGCAACCAGGATGGCTGACATCTGAAAGCAAAGGAACATGAGCCTCGATTCATTCCCTGCCAGGAATGATTTCATGGGAATGTAGCCCAGATGAAACACCTCTTAAATAAGAGTTGTGCCAATTATTTATTCCCCCTAACCTCCCGCAAAAACATTTCTTTTTTAAATAAAAGGAAAAGAACTGGAAATTTTTTCTAAACCTGAATAAAATGACCATTTTTTAAACAGGTAGTTTAAAATGAATACAAACAAGCAGGCAGTCCGGTTTCCTGATTAATGAAGATGGAGGTTGTGGGTTTTTGCTGTCTCTAAGGACAAACAGGGCTTTAGAGTTCTGTGTCACCCCGAAGCAAGACTGAATCTTGATCATCCAAGAGGAGATCGGTGTCCACGACCTCGGCCCCTTCCATGACGCCTCCTAACTGCTGGACAACGTCGTCATCGAGGATGTCCACGTCCTTGATGGGTTTGATCAGATTCAGCTGGTCCAGGGGCAGCAGCCCAGGTGGCCCCACCGGCCCCGTAGTCCTCTCGATTGTGGCTGCCATCTCGGCAGCAAAGGCTGCCTTCTGGGCCTTCTGCCTCTGCTGTTCCTCCTGCTGCCGGTGAGTCTTCATGTGTGCATTTCGGCTTTTGATCTTGAAGAAGACTCTGAAAATAAAGAAGAGACATGTGAAATCTGGAAGGAGACCTGAGGGTAGACATCCGACATCTGGCTGTGTGTTGTGGCATCTGCTTCGGGGTGGCTTTGACAAGGTGGCTTCTTTGAGCCTAGGACCTGCTCCCCTGGTGACCCATCACCTCCCCCTCCTCTCCGAGCATTATAAGGAAAGGGAGGAAAGGGGGACTCAGGCTTCTCCGTGTGACGTCAACGGAGGGTGAATCCAAAAAGGCCTTCCCGTCTATCTGTGATCTGGAACACATTCCTTTCTCCTCCTCGATGTCTCCTTTTTTCTTTTTAACACTAACCAAGTCCTCTTGAAAATGGGAGAATCCCCAAATCGTGCTAATGAGGTCTGACAGTCCCCATCATAAACAGCCCAACCCTGGCCGACAGTCAAAATTCTCAAGGCTTCCCTGCACACACTTGATCTAGCTTCTCCTCTCCACCCCGACACTTGTCCCCTCCACTTCCATGGAATGCTTTTCTCAAAGGCACCAGTCACCGGGTGGCCCTTCTTCTGTTTTTATTGTACTTGACTGTCGAGTTATAACTACTCTTCTTTTCACCCAAGTCTCCTTCTTGTGGGCTATCATATTATCATCATTTCCTACTGTTGCTTTATCATGAAATAGTGGTTCTCAGCTGGGGGTGAGTTTGCCTCATTTGAGTGTGTACTTGTTTTTGATGGTTACAACTGGAGGCAGTGGCGGTGACAGTTCCAGAAATGAGTGAGCGGAGGCTAGGGATGCTGCTAAAGAGCCCACAGTGCAGAGGGCAGTTCCTCTTCCCTAGACAAGGAATTATAAGACCCAAAACGTCAGCATTAAGGTCGAAAATCTCTAGAATAAAGGGTCTGCAAAAGAAGGTCAGACCCCTGCCTGTTTTTATGAATAAATTTTTACAGGAATGTGGCCATGTCTATTTTTTTTTAAATATTTATTTATGCATACAAGAACTGGGGTCAGGCTAGAGGTGCAGGCAGTGAGAACATTCACCACAGACAGAGTGGGGAGCAGACCAGGCAGACTGACTGAAATACACTGCTGAGGGGAGCAGTAAGCAGGCCAGGAGAGGTCTGCTGTGCTCTGTGGGTCAGCTCCTTGGCTGGGGATTGAACTCATACTGCAATGGCTGCAGATAGCTTCATAGTGCTGAGACTTAACCCCTTGAGCTATCAGGGAGGAGGCTCAGCCATGCCTATATGGTTATATTGTCTATGCCTGCCTTTGTACTACAAGGTAGAGTTAAGTAATGAGAGTAGACCTACTATCTGGCATATTCTACCTGGGCTTTTTACAGGAAGTTTCCTCAGATGTAAAACTGTCTTTTTTTGGGAAAGGGGTGGGCATAAATACTTTATATTCATTCCTGTGCTGATTAAGGAGAAAAAAGTGATTCTCAGACTTGAGTTATACAGCATCGGACTTAGTGAAAGCTGTATAATGCAATGAACATCATCTCAGCACCCACAAGAGGCACTCAGAATGTTTGCCTAATGTTATTCCTAGTGTAGAAAACCACAGAAAGTATTGCTCTTTTCCATAATATCTTTAAATGAGAGTTATGGTAGAAAAAGGTCCTTCCTAAGCAACATAAAAACAAGACAAGGAAGGAAGACATGTAATGGGCCCCATTGAAAGAGCCAGAAGCCTTGAAAAACTTATCTTGTTAAAGGTCCTTTGTCTCCACCTGGTGGAATAAGGAGTGGCAGAATGTTTGAACAGAGTAACTGGAAGGTGCTGGCTTCTCTGAGATGGAACTGACAAGGCCTCAGACTGCCCACACTTCCATCCCAGGGCCATCAAATGAGAGCTATTACTCTTTTTACTTCAAGTCTATATGTCTAATGATCAATCCGAGGCTTGTTTCTTCCATGTAGATGTTATCATGTATGTCTCATATAGAGGGGATCATAGCCAGACTCTGAAGAACATCAGGGCACAGCAGAGAACAACACCTAAATTTGCTCCCTGCTCTCTGTACTTCACAAAGGGGAGGGAGAGTCACCAGCTCCAATTCACTTTGGCAGGTGTCACCACACTGAGTCTAGTTCACTCAGAAGCTAAGGATGCAGCCAGGGCCAGCTATGTCACCCACGTCCTCGGCTGAGCACCATACAAACACCTTAACTTCAGTCCCTGATTATAAAAAAGAAACTATTAGAAGTACTTATTGGGATATTTTAAAGTTTTTTTTTTTTTTAAAGATGGAATTAATCCTTTAAGACAGTATGGAACAGTGAGTACCTGATAACGGCAGCTACTATTAAGTTGCTTGAAATATTTTTGTCTATAAAGGTGTATATTGTAAACAGATATTCCAAGTGACCTGCTAATAACGCTAGGATGTTGGTAGAGTTTACCAAGTGAAACTTGGTAGAGTTTCAGCAGCTACCTGGTTGGCCTCTCTTCAGGTAACACTTCTCTTCATATCTGAGGCACTAGGGATGATGGAAAGAGAACCCCAGCAGAGTTCCTTAAGGCTGTCTTGAAAGACAGAGTAAGTCTGCCTTCCACATCAGGCACTCACTGAGAAGGAAACAATAACTCTATAGTAGATGCTGTGGTAAGGAACCATGTAGTTCTTATCAATATATTTTCTACCCAAAGTAAATAAAGTAACAAAGCAAACCAACAGGAAGGAGCAGTGGTCAAGAGCCCAGGCTCTACAACTGAGCACAGTCA